ATGCATTCAATCGACTAACTGTGGATGTCGATAATCAAGGAATAATTAGGTTTGGTGAAAGACTCAACAGAGCTTCACTCACCCAAGAAAACAAGCACCGGCTATTCTCCCGCAACACTCATACTTCTCAGCTCTAGTTATTGTTCATTTTCATAAACGAACTCTCCACGGAGACACGCAACTTATATTAGCACACACTCACCAACAATATTGGATTCTTGATGGGAGATTTCCTGTGAAAATCTACAACTGGCGGTGCGTTGTGTGCGCTCGACAAAGGGGAATCCATACTCATTAATTAATGGACCAACCGTTTGTCTCTAGAGTGACGCCATTACGACTGTTCACTCATACAGGAGTTGACTATGTAAGTTCTTTAACCATAAAAATCTGGAATACTTGTATTCATAGTTATGTATGATCACTATTTTGAATGAAGTATATCAATATGTAGTTTAACAAGATTATAACAGAGCTTTGATATTGATACGTCAGAACAGAAACATCAACACTTATTTTATACATCATTCATCAATCCCGTTGGATGTCCTCAGTCAAATACAATATAAGAAAATGAGTATTTTATTATTTTATGTTCTATAGAATTCTAATTATGATCTTGAAATAGCAATAATGGTCGAATTACTATAAGAAATTAATATTTTATGGTTGAATCGAGCCATAATACTTTGCTAGTGATAAACCTCATTTTTATATACTAGATGTATATAGTCTATCTTTATCTCGAGTATTTTTTGTAATGATCTTGATAAGAACGTGTATTCTAATCTTATTCTACAAAATTAGTTTTTAGATAATAACATAATATAATTTGCGAGGTCTAATTTTTAGTAAAACTAATTAGAAATTAAAAAAATAAAAGTAGTTATAAAAAAATTAATATTATTTACACTAATTTTATTTTTATTTTATTATTTATATAATATATAATTAAAATAAAAGTCTTCGATTTACTATAAAAACCAAAATAAGTTACAAATCTTACCTAATAAAGATGTGACTAATTTATATGTATATCTATGTGGATGGATGTGTGCACATGTGCGTACGTGTAAATGTAAATGTATTGTAAATCATTATCATAATAAATATTTAAATACTATACATCTGCCTAGTGTATTGAATTATATTCGAAACATATAAATTCATTAAATAATATATTTTACCTGCTTATAACACGAAGATCATAAAATACTTAAAATTTGTCTAATTTGTACAATCAATTAAAAATTTATTCAAATTTTTGGTACTTTTTATTCAATATGCACATCCTAAATTATGCGACCACTACAAAATATAGAAATTATGTGAATTAATAATTGTAAATAAAAATATTGAAATATCTAACTATTGTCGATATAAAAGGAACTATAAGATTAATTTACTATAAAAACATATTTTATAATAGAAGTTATAGTTAAAATTCAATCATTAAAAATAAGTAAAACAAAAATTTGTGTTTAATAAGGCGTTATTTTATATATAATCTATATTCTAAGCAATAATTAACTATTAAAATAATATGTAACAGACCTTTTTTATTAAAATTTCTATTTGTATAAACTATCTATTCTAATTTGTAAATCTTCTTATCATTAATAATTGTTTATTAAAATAATTGATTCAGTAAGTGTTCGGATTTAAAGGGTTAGCTTATGGCTCGAACTGCCAATTCAATAGTTCAGTGGATTAGTCTCTCGGCAGGATAATTTTAAAGGAAATTGTTTGAGAATGCGAGAAAGTAAAATGCAATAAAACATCTGGCAAGCGATATCGTAAAATTCACACTAGCATTCAAACCCTTTCGCTCACAATTATTTGTACTAGTGTCATAAAACATCTGGCAAGCGATATCGTAAAATTCACACTAGCATTCAAACCCTTTCGCTCACAATTATTTGTACTAGTGTCATAAAACATCTGGCAAGCGATATCGTAAAATTCACACTAGCATTCAAACCCTTTCGCTCACAATTATTTGTACTAGTGTCATAAAACATCTGGCAAGCGATATCGTAAAATTCACACTAGCATTCAAACCCTTTCGCTCACAATTATTTGTACTAGTGTCATAAAACATCTGGCAAGCGATATCGTAAAATTCACACTAGCATTCAAACCCTTTCGCTCACAATTATTTGTACTAGTGTCATAAAACATCTGGCAAGCGATATCGTAAAATTCACACTAGCATTCAAACCCTTTCGCTCACAATTATTTGTACTAGTGTCATAAAACATCTGGCAAGCGATATCGTAAAATTCACACTAGCATTCAAACCCTTTCGCTCACAATTATTTGTACTAGTGTCATAAAACATCTGGCAAGCGATATCGTAAAATTCACACTAGCATTCAAACCCTTTCGCTCACAATTATTTGTACTAGTGTCATAAAACATCTGGCAAGCGATATCGTAAAATTCACACTAGCATTCAAACCCTTTCGCTCACAATTATTTGTACTAGTGTCATAAAACATCTGGCAAGCGATATCGTAAAATTCACACTAGCATTCAAACCCTTTCGCTCACAATTATTTGTACTAGTGTCATAAAACATCTGGCAAGCGATATCGTAAAATTCACACTAGCATTCAAACCCTTTCGCTCACAATTATTTGTACTAGTGTCATAAAACATCTGGCAAGCGATATCGTAAAATTCACACTAGCATTCAAACCCTTTCGCTCACAATTATTTGTACTAGTGTCATAAAACATCTGGCAAGCGATATCGTAAAATTCACACTAGCATTCAAACCCTTTCGCTCACAATTATTTGTACTAGTGTCATAAAACATCTGGCAAGCGATATCGTAAAATTCACACTAGCATTCAAACCCTTTCGCTCACAATTATTTGTACTAGTGTCATAAAACATCTGGCAAGCGATATCGTAAAATTCACACTAGCATTCAAACCCTTTCGCTCACAATTATTTGTACTAGTGTCATAAAACATCTGGCAAGCGATATCGTAAAATTCACACTAGCATTCAAACCCTTTCGCTCACAATTATTTGTACTAGTGTCATAAAACATCTGGCAAGCGATATCGTAAAATTCACACTAGCATTCAAACCCTTTCGCTCACAATTATTTGTACTAGTGTCATAAAACATCTGGCAAGCGATATCGTAAAATTCACACTAGCATTCAAACCCTTTCGCTCACAATTATTTGTACTAGTGTCATAAAACATCTGGCAAGCGATATCGTAAAATTCACACTAGCATTCAAACCCTTTCGCTCACAATTATTTGTACTAGTGTCATAAAACATCTGGCAAGCGATATCGTAAAATTCACACTAGCATTCAAACCCTTTCGCTCACAATTATTTGTACTAGTGTCATAAAACATCTGGCAAGCGATATCGTAAAATTCACACTAGCATTTAAAGGGTTAGCTTATGGCTCGAACTGCCAATTCAATAGTTCAGTGGATTAGTCTCTCGGCCGGGTAATTTTTAAGGAAATCAATAACGGACAAGGCTGAAAAATATAATATATTTATTTTAAATACAAGGTTTAATGAGTGTAAACAATTGTAATAATATTGCACTGTTGTGTAGAGATAAATAATTCTGTTGGATTATTCAAAATATGTGTTCTTGTGATTTTTCTGCTATAAAGGCTTCTTTGGATATTGCTGTGTTACTTTGAGGTTATGTTGATGTTATCACTGTCAGCTGATGTCGTCAGTCAATCATGCTTGTGAGGCAGCATGAGAAGATGGTAGTTGAATCTAGTATGCTTGATTGATGAATAGCTATACTTGATGAGTTGTTAGATCTTAAATGGAATTTATTATGTAATCGATTATGTTTTGATTATGTACAAGGGACAGCAGTAGAATCTAGTCACAGGAAAAACAATTAGAAGTAGTATTTCTAATTCGTGGAGGATTTGATAATCCGTATCTGTAGAGTCTATTAGTCGATCTGTGTTGGTCATGTGTAACCAATGTGTGTGAACCACAGTGACTCTTGCGTCAGCTGTTCAGGGCCTGCGCGGCTCCGCAGTGTTCTTCGGACGAGCGCTAGTGTGCCCTGTTTGTGCTAGCGGGCCTGTACGATGTCGAACGGTTAGTTCGAGAGAGCGTAAGTGTGCCCGATCGACAATAGCGCGAGATGTGACTTGTTTATTTATTAATATAAAGATGTACCTGGTGAACTGCAGGTTGGATGGATTCGATGCTGTGTATGTAATGTTTCCCTTGATTACAATTCCATTGGCTTCACTGTAATCACTTATTAAAGAATTGCCGATTATCTTTTCTATGCACGCGGGTACTCTTTACTATGTTGCCGAAAATGTGGCCACGCGGCGTCTTTACAGTATACTTGCACTGACCGGCAGTTACGCTTGATGGAGAGCGAAGTGATTTTACGAATGAGCGTCGCCTCATGGCGCGTTGCGCTTAAATGTGCATACGGCGTCTTCAGCGCCGGCAACAGTGTCGATGCGCGTCCCTTCCAGAAATTTTCCTTTGGCGTGAGAAAACGAAGCTTCTAGAAGTTTTGAAGGCGTCCCTTTTTTGTGAGTGCTGGCAGTAAATAATATTTCAAATCGTAAACTTGCTCGGACTTGCCGAGTTTTGTTTGTAAACATTTTCTCGAGTGCCCGCCTCGGTCCGCACATGCGGATCAGCCTAGGCGCACGTGGTGGCCAGCCTTGCTGCACGCGCGGTTAGTCTAGGCGCACATGCGGTACGCCGGGCTGCGTAAATGACCTTTCTTTTGTTTGAAATTCATGGGACTGCTTCAATCCCGAACAGTAAGCATAATATTTATTAATGAAAATGGTTAGTCAACTAGCTTTTCTTAATCCTTCAGGTTGTGACAAAAAAATATAAATTTATAATTTAAATATTATATAGAACATTATTTTCTTACAGATTACTATTTTTAATCATTGAATGAAATCATAATTGGAATTATAGTATTTATACTGATAAATAATCATTATGATTTATTACAGAATTTAAATTTTGATTCACAATATGTCAATAAAGGAGTCACATATGGACATGTTGTTATTGAAATGGATTCGAATCCAATTAGAACTGTTTTAAATGTATGTAAATTTCTCATTGCAAATAGAGTATACGCTATTATAATATCGCATCCACCTATTGGAGAGTTATCATCTGCTGCAGTATCTTATACAAGTGGATTTTATCATATTCCTGTAATTGGTATATCTTCAAGGGATTCAGCCTTTTCTGATAAGGTAAACAATAAAAATCATATACACAAATTTTGATGTTTAAGATAATATGAAATGTTCATTTTTGGAAAATTTAAATATTATTGTAATATTGTTAATAATATTTTGTATTTTTCACTTTTAAATTTTAAAAGAAATTTGAAGTATATTGAGAAATTTTATCAACATTATCAATATTATGCTGTATATATTGTACATAATAAGCATACAAAATAAAAATATGAACAATTTAAATTATTTTTTTTATAAAGGCATAATTTCTAACTTTCGAACTCATATGATATCGATGTTTTAATAATTTTATTATCTTTCTATATAGTATTAATCATCCCCTGTTACGCACAATACTTTGTTAATTTGGTCTGCACATTAATATTTTTGTTCTCTGCTTCACTTTTGTACTTTATAAAAATTCCAAGAATATTTTATATCTATTTTTTCTAAATAAATTTGCAGATTGATATATATATATATATATATATATATATATAGATTGTATTAAAATACACGCCTACAAAATAAAATAGTGTTAGATCTATATTGACAATAGAAATTAATGACTGTTTTCTTATGCATTAGTTATGTTTCTAGTTCAATATATTATAATAATATTGATTTTAATAACATTTTTTTTCTTTAAAAAATTGAATGTTTTATTAAAGTATATTTTAACTTCAATTATAAGTTATTAATATGATTATATTGTTAATTTAAGTTGAAATTCTGTTGTCAAGGAATAATTATTAAATAAAGTAATTTTGTTATTATTTTTTAAAATATTTAAAATTAAAAATAAATTAATTTGATGCTATTACAGAAATATATTTAATATATATTAAAACTATTTTTGATATTCATTGTTTTCTATATACTTTTGTTTGTAACCTTCTTATTTACGTTTTCAGCATTTTCACTAATTGAATGAATTTCCATATTTTTAATTAATATTTTCGATTACTATTTTATATCTTAATTAGTAAAGATAATAAGTAACTTTATTAAATTAATTGAAGTTTATTAGGAGAGAACAGTATTTAAAAAAAAATCGTTAAGATTTTTATATTTGAAAAAAAGTAATTTTAATGATTATTTTAATTTTGATTGTATTCTGTTTACATTCATTGTGACAATTCTTGACATCAAAATACTATATTTTTAGCTGTTACATTTTTATTATGGTTAATTATTAATATTTCAATTGAATTTAACTTCGATAAACTATATTAAAAATGAATATAAATCTATATGTTTATATTCTAATAATAAATGCACTTCGAGTGAAATTTTTTAATATTTCAAAATAATTTTTTAAGTATCATAATAGATTATTATATTATTAGTTAATAATAATCAACAATCATTTTAACTGATTGATTATCAAATGTTGTAACTGTAAAACACTGAAAAATATGAATAAACATAATTAACAGTAAAAATAAAGTGCAAAACAAAAGTGTATTTTCCCAAATTTAAAACTGCAATATTTTTTTATCCAATTATTGGATTGTAAGAAATATATATCTATATATTAATTTTTTATTTAAATTAATTTTTCTTTATCTAATAAGAAGAAATTTATTAAATGAGTGTTTTACCATTGCTAGTAATACAGTAATAATGTATATGTATACAAATAATAATGTAATATAATATAAAAAAGTGTAATAGTAAATTACTAATAATAAAATAATAGTAGTTTTGAGTGATAAAATAAGAAATTATGTATAAAACAAGACAAATATAAGGCTGCAACAGTTTTTAGGTGAAAAATTTATACGTTTTAATATATCATTATTTTTTAAACACATATATAAGATGTACTCTTATTGGAATAAATGTAGGTCTTGTAGCTTAAATTATTTTAAAAGTCATTACGATTTTCTTTTCAGGAATTCAAAATTTATTTTTTGACTTTTAGTATTGTTTTAGAGGTTAATACAGAAAAATCATTTCTATAATAATATTTGTTGTATTTTCTTTTGAAGTACTAAAATCAGAAATTTATTTAGATGATTTAGTTATTTATCTATTAATACTATAGTTGAATTAAAGTTTTATATATTTATTATTTATATTATTTTTCTAGAATATTCATGTTTCATTTCTGCGAACTGTACCACCATATTCTCATCAAGCAGATGTATGGCTGGAACTATTAAGATATTTTAATTATATGAAAGTTATATTCATACATAGCTCAGATACTGATGGAAGAAGTTTACTTGGACGGTTTCAGACAACATCTCAAATCCTTGAAGATGATATGGAAATTAAAATACAGGTAATTTCAATAAATTTAAAAAATAGTCAAATTGATTGTACTCGAAATGTCTAATATACAGACAAACAATTATTATTGTATAATTAGTAATTAAATAATCTATCTATATATATAAACTATAAAACAATCTATTTTTAATTTATGTATTAGCTTATAAAATAATACAATATTAAGCAATTCTTTTGAATATTATTGCAATATTTTTTAAATCAATTTTATTTGTAAGCAGCTCCTACATGTATGATTATTGTAAACTTAATTTAGTCTAGACTTTTAACTTAACTTTAATTTTTATTGTTTTTTGCTTTTAGATCGATAAAATACGAATAAAATTTCGATTTCAATAATAAATATATAGACTAATTTCATCTTCATTATATATAAGAACGTTATAGAAGATATAGATTTTGTTTAAAAATTATATTTTTAACAAATTACATTTTACAAAAATATCGTTATATAAATATACTATTTTTCTACTTAAATCCCAGAAATATCGAAACGATAGAAAGAAGTCTGTTCGTTGTTTTCTTTCTCAATTTCAACAATTTTAAAGAAATTTATGAATTTCAATCAATCAATTTTAACCTATTGTTTTTATTATTTATAATTATTTTATTTTTGCTTCCCTGACATTACTGTAAAATTCTATTCATAATATTTTTGATACTGATTTTATCTTAATAAGCGTAACCTAAATATAAACATACATATAACATAACATTTTAAATATAAAATTCTTATTCATTGAAAACTGTTCAAGATTAGGAGAACCTTTCGCGAGTGTCACATATCTGAAAAGACTCAAGTCGTTAAACATCTGCGAATCTATAATATATCGATCTATAATATATAATATATAATATATAATCTATAATATATAATATATGCAAATCTATAATATAAAATAAAAATCTACGAAAAACCGTGGTAGCTAAACATCTGGGAAAACCCAAGTCATTAGACATCTGAAAAAGCCCAGCTCATTAGACATCTGGAAATAGTCGTTACAAAAATTAAAATCTAACCTCTGATTAGAAATGCCTGAGACAGTGAATCGCTCTGATTGGAGAAACTTAAGGCAGAGGCGTTCTCTAAGCGGGGATGTTTGGTCAAAGGCTTTATAAGTAGGGACGACATAGATACAAGCGCTGTCTAAGTGGAAAAGTCAAGGAAGAAGGAGGAAGGCCTTTACTATTGATACCCTAGTGATCAAGCTGTAAGTACGACCACGATGGGAAGACGTGTCAATTCTCCTATGCTGCAAATAAAAGGTGTTAACTCTATCTTCTTCATATAAAGAAAACGCCAGACTACACGAGACATACTCTATAATAAGGAGTGTGCTTAAACATTACTGATCTTTGCAAAATCAGCAGG